TAGTGTCTACATGCCACTGTCCTTTATCAACTCTCTTCCCCCCTCCACAGTAGATATTAAAACACCTTCATTATGGAAACCATAACACATCTCATTCAAAGAAATCTGGAACCTTATTGTAAAACTACTTAAGAGAGTGTGAAGATCTCAGAAAAAGAGAAAAAATGTTCCCCCTTGGAAGTGTTATTTCATTTGAATTATGGGATGTAGATGTGGACTTGACAACTGTAAAGCAAAAATTCCATTAACTAAACTGAATCCAGGAAAGAAGGCAAGTTTCTATACAACCAGTAAATTAATTCTGTTGGAAAAAGTGAAGCAGGTTGTGTCTTCATTTTCTGCTTCTATTGTCACCTATGCGATTCAACTTGAAAATACAGATGATGACCATACACAACATCCTTGCATGTTTTTGAATTATCTGAAGATAGCTGAAGACATTATTACTCTATCAAAGCTAAGCACAGAAATTCAAAGCTTAGAATAAACTGTGTATGTAACAGGTTAAAACAGCACAAAGACTGAATACACCTTTCTCCCAAATACATTCCCAGCGGAAACTTTCCAAAGACCACACTTTGTGTTTTTTTTCTTTCCCTTTTTTCTTCCAGAAGACACAGCTATGAAAACAGTGCTGGTACAGCTGGGACTTCATCTTGCATTCCACCTCTCCCTCTCAGTTCTAAGAGTTCTTTACTGGTGAGAAGGATAAAGCTGTTTTCCTAACACGTTTTGGTAAACTTTCTAAAGTAATTCATTTCGTTAACAAGAAAGGAGGCACTATTTTTAAAACAGTGATATAAAACATAGCCAAAAGCTATTTTAAAGCAGTTGTGTCCAACAGCAAAATCAGCATTTTAATTTGTAACACTGTTTCTCCTGAAAGGGAACAGATGCCTATGTTTATCAGAGACACAAGCTCTGTGCACACACTTAAGGAGTTAACTGGATTTTAAATCCACCTCAAAAATGGAATGTTTCAGATCATGAAAATGTCTAAAAGCTGCACATGAACGTTATTTTAATGTTAGACACAGACTAGGTTTTATTAAGCATTACACTAGAACTACTTTGGTATAAAAATACTTTATTTTAAAGCTATCAAAGTTATAAAAATATGTAGTTATACCTTCTACTCACAGTGTCTGCTATTTTAACATTACTGATTTGTTTCACCTAACCAATCTGAATTTTATTCGAAAGTTTACAAGACAAATATTAATTTTTTAAAAAAATGAACAGCATTACAGGGAGCTGGACTAATTGAGATGTTTTATCAGGATTCATTTAACCTCTAGATTTTTAATGAAGCCAGCAAAAACAACTATTTTCTGATGAAACAGAATTTCTTATTTCTTGAAGCGTTTCTGTGGTTGACCACTTCTTCATTAGTTACCTGCAGCATGGCACCTTCCTGCCAAAGAAAAAAAAAGTGTATCTGAAGATGTTTATCACATATGTCTAAACCAAATTACCAATAGGGGAACTTCAGCCATTTAAAAAAAAAAAGTATAAGCAGTTCACTGGTGTGTCTAACACAAATGGAACAGGACTTCCATTATTTGAGTCCATGTCCTCTAGTGTGTAGCCTTTCAAAGGCAACAGAACTTGGAAATTGTTTTGTGAATTTTGTTGATTTTTAATTAAAAAAAAAAATCAGCGAATTACGCCATCCTTACTCCGAGTAACTCATTACTTAGTGAATTTTCTTTAATTTGAAGAATACAGATTCAAGGCAATGAGTAAGGCTGATTAAATTTGGCACTAAGGTTTATTAGCTGCAAGAACTATAAAAAATGGTGGAAACCTCATCATTCTAGCCAAATTCCAATTTCAGCAATTACATTATACACTCATAAATATACCACCTGCAGTTTCATTTGAAGCGTTCACTTTCCCTCCTAAAGAACTGCTTATGCAGTTGTTAAAGAATAGCCGAGACATTCCTTCACAGAGGCAGATGTATTCAGTGGTGCAATTTTTTTCCTTATATGAAAAGGGTCTAAAGTTACTTGGGAACCTTCAGGATGAAACATGTTATATAAAGTAGATTACTGCAGACAAGACACACAACATTGTTCATTTTCAACAGCACAGAACTACCTTCATTGCATTACCTTGCAACCACCATAATGCATAGACTCCCAAGAAAAAAATAAAATGTTGCAGGATGCAAAAATAAAGTGGTATGATTTAATTAACTTGTGACCTACCATTTTAACTACCAACACCAGGGATGGAACCCTTGCAAAGCTTTACTAATGGACACTTGCAGGTCTCATTTGTTCAACTGTAGCAGTGTACAGTGGCAGCAGTCTATGCTTGTCCAGGGTTCATATCATAGCTAGATTCCAGTAGGAAAAAAATATGTTAAGTAGCTGAAATTAATAAGAATTTGTTTGTAAAAAGTTTAATAATACAAGAAAACAGGATTCACAAAGTTCTTTTCAATTGGTAATTGTTAATTCATTGCTATGTTAAACTACATACAATAATCACTATACTCAAAAAAATACTTTCATATAGTATAGTATTAGTTTCTCAATTTTGGAACAATTAAGAAAGGAAAAGTAAATAAGATCTTACCTAAAGAAGTTTAACTGAAGCTTAGAACTATTTTGCTCTACACCCCATAGCCTTCGTTGACATCCTTATACAACTACCGTAGTTAAAGCTTTGCAGAAATACAGCGCAGCTTTTTAAGACTGGCTGAACTTAGTGACGTTTTCAAGAGTTCTCTCGTACTAGACCTGTGTCCCTGGAAGAGTACCTCGCTGGGGATATTTCCTTTCCTTGCCATTGAAGAAGCAGCATCTAAAAGATCTAAAAAGGTGTTTCTCCTTGCAGAGATAACCCTTAAGTTATCTAGATACTTTAAACCTGATCATTTACAGACAACATACTTTTTTCTGACCAAGCATTTAACACGTACAACAATAGCTTTATATTATTTGTGGGACCTTATACTACCCACTCCTTGCCTTATTTTACAATATTAAAAAAAAATCTATAATTACACAATATTTCCTTTAGAATTATTTTATTAAATCATAAATGTACAACAGCTTCTTAACTCTACACACGCACTTAAAATTTAAAAGGAAAACGTTATGTCTTATTACACCATGATCCTGGCTAATAGCTTTTCAAAACTTTGAGAAAAATCTTAAAAAAGGTTTCACATGTCACCTGAAACTTACAAATTTAACATTATCAAAGGAATGCTTCTACACTTACAAAGACCACTAGAAAGAAACAACAATTAAAAAGCTAAGAAACTGTCTCAAAGGCATTTTTACAATCCTTCCTCCACAGTAAGGTAATGTTATTAAATAATCCAAATCCATTCACAAAATGGCTCTCTGCATCTGCTCTGGTGTCTTCTGCCATATCACTGCATATTTATGCATGACTGAGATAAGTGTTTCCTTAACATTGTTATTTCGATAACCTGAAGCTGTTCTGTTACCTCTGGGCTCTCATCCTCTCCTATTTATACAGTGAAGCCTGTTTCAACAGAAGTAAAGAGTAAAAAAATAGGTTATGAAATTATTCATCTAACCATTTTTTAAAGGAAAGATAATATGATCCTAAAAAGCTTTTAACTCCTGCAGCTACTCTCAAGAATCACTGCAATTTTAGAACTTAAAAACATACTTACCCATGGCAGGCTTGAGGAAACTCAGTAACGGCTCCTCCCTCCATAACCACCACTTCCTCCACTGCCCCCTGGACCATAATTTCCTGCAATTGCGGAACAGTAAGAAACAGAGTAGGTTACATCAGTATATTTTTTTGTGAAACAAACCAAGAGGGAAAAGGGAAAAAACACTAATTCAGTGAACCGTAACTAGATTTCCCTCTTTCACCCTTCTACAAACGAGACAAACCAACAGCAGGCAACGAGAACCTGCGGGCAGGGGAAGGGCGCCCGAACAAGCTTTATGCAGAGAGCAAGGGCGTTATTAGCCTGACTGCTGTGGGAGAGGTTCTCGCCTTCCCTCCCACCTCCCTATAGGAGGGAATGACAGAAGTTCACCCACTGCTTGGTTCCAGGACAGCTCAGACGTATACAATACCTCCACCATATGGTCCCCCCATGTTCCTGCTGCCACCAAAATTTCCACTCTTCATTGGACCGTAATTTGAGGGTTGCTGGTTGTAGTTTCCAAAATCATTGTAGTTTCCACTTCCATAATTGCCTGCATTATCAATACACAAAGGATAAATGCCTGGATGAACTAAAACACAGACAAAACTCACAAAGTTATCTCACTATTAGAAATTTTGTAAGGGCAAAATGTGTAGGTACTCCAAGAGCCTAAGAAATGAGTTGCTTTTCCACACTGTACGGAAAGCAAACGCACTGCTCAGATAACCCCCCACTCTCCCGCCCCTTCCCCCCCAAATAAAACATTCTCAAATGACTTGCACTGATTTACAACTGAAATACTTGAACATTTCAAGCCAGTAGGTTACCTCCTCCATAGTTGTCATAACCACCTCCATAGCCCCCACCCTGGTTGCCATATCCAGGTCCTCCTCCACCATATCCTCCTCTTCCTCCTCCATAACCAGGACTGCCTCCAAAGTTGCCACCTGTTACAAAACAATCTTTTAAGATTTAACTTTTCAAGGTAAAAAGCAACTAAACTCTACAGAGAAACTTCTCCTTAGAAGCATACAATGAAAAATAAAAGAGCAAGAGTTTGATAAAGAAATTTCTACAGTATTTTTAAAGTCACATTCCCAACCTCCATTCTAAATGAACTGTTACCAAAATCCACTAATCAGGTGTCTAAATGTAGCAGTGAAAAGACTTAAATTAAAACTCTCTTTCCTCGGGAATGTAAGAGATTCTGTTCTAGAGAAAAGGGTGTGGCCATCCAAGACAACTATATGGTTTTCCATAGATAGTTATAACATGAATCAACAGCTACATCCTTTTTCCTATATGCAACAAAAGACTTTACCACTTACATGTATTTTTATGTAAGTGGTAAGTGAATGTTAAAGTCTTCCTGAACAAGAGGAAAATATAAAAAACAGCAACATCAACAAACCCACAAGCACAGAAGTAAACTAACCTCCAGGTCCTCCACCATATCCATTATATCCATCACCAAATCCACGGCCACTTCCATATCCGTCTGTTGGAAGAAATAAACAACCTCAATTCACGAGCAATAAACTACCTGAAAGATTTTTCTGCAGCCCCTACCAACCTGGAGAGATTGCTGATTAAGTCACACTCTCATTTGGGAGGGAGTGGGGGGGCAGGTATTATCCTTACCCTAGATTTTATACTTCCTCACCTTCGTGAATCAGCAAGTTTTAATTCTGGACTCAGGAAGCTTTTAACTGTCTATCAGAATTTTGCTTCTTAGCTTATGCGCAATGTAGGCAGCCAAGAGTCCCTCCCATTTTAAAAGCTACTCAGAACTCCATTTAACTACAGGAGAGAAATCTCTGAATTCCTTACCAAATTTCTGATCTTAGTTATTAATATCCTTTAAAAAAAAAGGATTACTTCAGTTTACTAAGTGCCCATATTGTGCATCTGTATACTGTGTAAGATATTTGCTATGTATTTTTAATTAAAAAAAAAATCCTCCAGCTACCACACATTTATAAGATACTGCTGTTTAATTTGAAGTTACCAAAATCAAAACAACGGTATAAATAAGAAAAAAGAAAGTTACAAACATGCCTGTCTTACCGGCTCCCCCTCTGAAATTGCTGCCAGGTCCAGGACCGAAGTTGCCACCGCCTCCACGCGCATCACCAAAACCGAAGTTCCCTACAACCATTTAAAGTTTCAAGTTGATTGAAAACTCATCTAGCCAAACCCAGAGAGACAAACCAGCCTTAACCAGCACGTGCACATACCTCCTCTCCCACTCCTAGAATTCTGAACTTCCTGCATTTCCTGCCTAGAGAGAGCTTTCCGTACTTCTGCGTTATGGCCATTGATGGTGTGATACTTCTGCACTGTAACCAGAGAATAGAGTATGACCATTTAATAATACTCATCTGGGAGCAAAGAAGAATATTATGCTTCCAAAAATACAGTAACTTCCAAATTAATCCAGGGTTAATAATACTTAATAATAATATTGGAAAAAAAAAAAGAAGAGGCCTTAAGGAAAGACAGCAGTCATTTAAGTAGTACCACATGCTCTCACACAGTTTGCTAATACTATGATTCTGCAAATACTGATGCAGAAGAGTAGTTTGAATTTATTTAAACAATTACATGACAACAAGCATTAACACTATCAGATGAGAGTGAAATGAAGCCTACTTACATACGATTTTATCCACAGGATCATGGTCATCAAAGGTAACAAAGCCAAACCCTCTCTTTTTACCAGACTGTCTGTCAGTAATAATTTCGATAGTGTCAATTTTCCCATATTCCTCAAAGTAGTCACGAAGGTGGTGCTCTTCAGTATCCTCTTTAATACCACCAACAAATAGTTTCTTCACAGTAACATGAGCACCAGGTTTTCCAGATTCCTATTAAAAAAAAATAATCCCCTAATAACTACAAAGATAACCGAATTCATAAATTAGTATTTTTCCAAGATTTCAGGGGGATAATACTGATATTTGGAAAGATTTTGAGACATTGAGGTTACTGGCTTATGATGCATATCCTGGAAACATCTCTTTGAGCGTGAAGAGAGCAAGGCAGGAGGGGAATCCTGTCCCACCTCCCCTTGATATAATGTTTTAAATACGCTGAAAAAAACTACTTAAAATTACGTGAAACACGAATAAACCAAAGGTCCCTGAACAGATTTAGATAAAAATGTACCATCAACTGTTTGGAAGGAACTCCCAACTATTCAGTACCATGAAGCAAGCATGGTCTTTGTAATTCATACATAAACATGTAACCTTCCTCTGTTTGTTTCCTCAACAGCCATGAAGTCCACACTGTATACAACAATAAAACTCCTTCAAACACAGTGAATCCACAGCTACACATTTTAATCTCTATTCAGTATAGGAACATTCAACTACTAACTTCCTACTTTTATCTTATGGAAAAAACACATTACCTTCCAACTGGACTGGAATGCAGTGATTTTTTTCAAAAACAAATTAAAAACGTGGGTCTAACCTTACATAACCAGTAAACTCTCCCAGCGCTCCAACGATGTGGCTAACTGAAAAATGCTTGAATTCGTCTCTGCAGTATGTGCCCCTCAATAACCTAGCTGGGAAGTTAACTGCAGGATCAACTACTTCTCTGTGCACCCATGCTATCTGTATTCTACAAATCTAAAAACCAAGTATGTTTGCACAAGAATAGTCCTATGCTGACTTTGTATGGCAACACTACATACATTTTATAAATACGCAAAAGACCTTGAACAGACTCAGAAAGGATTAGCAGGAGCTTATTAATTTGAGCCTAGTAACAGCAATGGTTCTCCTTCCATAGCAGAGCTTTTTTAGAATTAGCATAACTGCATGCATCCAGCATGTTTTAGCTAACATTTTTTCTCAACTCCAGTTGCATCCCTCGGAGAGATGATTCACAACCAGAATAAATAAGAATTCATTGTATCAAACAGAAATTTAAGTGTCAATTAATAGAATTGTGAGAAACAGTGTCCCACTACAGTCCTAGTAGGAGAATTTAAACAGTTTTTTTTTTCCCCCCCAAGAAAAAACTAAGAATGTCTGACCAAAACAGACATCTCTAAAAATAAATAAATAAAATCAATAGTTTCTTCTCAGCAGTTTCGAAGTTTAACCTACCTCTCTAGCCACAGCTCGCTTCGGCTCAACCACCCTTCCATCAATCGTGTGAGGCCTTGCAGCCATAGCTGCATCAACTTCAGCCATGGAGGAGAATGTAACAAACCCAAACCCCCTGGATCTTTTGCTTGCAGGATCCCTCATTACCTAGAAACAACAAACATATTTAAACCACTTCTGCATGTATCACTTCAAGCCTAACACAAGTATACTTGAAGAAAATATGCAAAACTTCCATTTTCCTCAATTTCAAAATTCACGACTTTTAAATGAGTTATGAAATATGCATATACCATTCCCAAAATAAATTCACTGACCAACATCTGCAAAAGAGGTAGCAGAGATGCAAGGCATCACAGGTTGCAAAAAAATATTCTCCTCCATCTTCATTAGGCTGCTTACCCCAGCATCACCTGTTGACCCAAGGTTACCAACCACAGCAGACGGCAGAGCAGTCTGTATAAGCAAGTCCCCTCCTCCCCCCCGCCACCTTCACCTTCAGGCAAAGGCATCAAAGTTACTTGTGAACTGCCAAAATAAGCAGTTGAAGAGATTATACAGGAAACAGATTGCGTTTCTCACTCCATCAGCAGAGTCTGGACGGGAAAGTATGCCTAGAGCCTTGATGAAATGGCTAATGTTAAAACACCTTCAACTGATGGAAATTTGACATTTCCCCCCCAAAAAGAAAAATGGTCCAGGAAACTAAAACCTACTATTATCTTTACTAAACATTTTACATCTTCATTATGAATCAGTAAGTCCAACTTACCACGCAATCTGTAAGCTTTCCCCATTGTTCATAGTAGTTTCTTAAGCTTTCTTCTGTTGTTTCAAAGCTTAAACCACCAATGAACAGTTTGCGGAACTGCTCCTTTTCCCTCTGTCACAGAAAAGAAGTTTGCATTAGTAAAATTTACAGTATTTCCCCACTGCATGATTAGACACTAAGTAATATTTCTTAATGGTCTAAATCTTTCAGTGGGAATTATTTTTCAAAATGAGATTAGGCTCTTTCACATTGTTTGACAAGAAGTTATGCCATGTTTGCAATTCTATGATATAGATTTCAAGAATGTGCGTTTCCTACCTCTTCCTACAAACACTAAGAAGATGCAACTACATTTAAATGTCTTCAGAAGAACAATCTTCCCAAAAGTCTTTATAAGCTTTTTGAAGTTGCACCAAAAACAAAACAAAAAAAAACAATACAAACAAAACAAAACCACACACTATAACACACAACCACACTATAACAAAGTGTTCTCATTACAGATAACAAGAATCCATTCATACTGTCTGATTCCATTCCAATTAGCATATATTTTAAAAAGAACATTCTGGATCAAGTTGCTTTATGCAAATACAATCATGCTATTTACCCAAGACATTAAAAAATAAAAAACAAGACAGCTTTATACCTTTTAAAACAAGTCAT